GTCCAAATCATTGTTGTTGAATAGTTGCCACAATTTTTCTACCACCTCGTTGCCACCACAAATAGCATCACCATGGATATTGTTATTGACTACAACAGCATTGTCACCAAAGAGGATTTTGTCTTCTGAACTATCCATGGCATTTGTGAGGCAACACTTATTAAAGCCATACTGAATCAGTGCCAGATCAATGTCATCCCAAGCTTCTTTGATCCATCAGGCAATGAGCAATAGGTCTGGTTTCTTCCAATTTCCTGTCAGTGTAAATGCGTGTACACCAGAATAGAGCCACTCATTCTATTTTTAATGCATTCATGGTGTATTTTTAAGTCAGTCTTATAAAATCAAAACTGCTATCTGCAGGGAGGGAATGTTTCAGAACAAACTACACGTATCCCCTTGTAGCAGTATTTCAGAGGATCATGACTAATGAACACTGACTGTAAATGGATTTTTGAGAACATTTATTTGCAGACATAGCAAGCACTAAGGATAACTCACTTCTCTTCTTAGTAAGGTTTTGTAATATGTTGTAAGAAGTCATTTAGAAAACATATATAACTGATAATTTTCAGTGTGGTTTTAGAAAATAATTACTTTACCATTTTATTTTATTTTTTTGGGGGGGTTTGCATCTTTTATCGGATGAGGGCATCTTTGTTGTTGCTCTATAACTTGACTTTCAAAAAGTCTTTGATAAGGTTCCTCACAAGATTGATTAGTACACCGGATGCTCAGGGCTTTAATGAGAAAAAATTACAAAATGGATTTAAAATTGACTTAACTGGAGAGAACAGAAAGTAACGATAAATGGGAATTTTCCTAATTGAGAAAATATTATTATTACTCTGGTCTTTAAAGGATCTATTTTAGGGTACTTGTTGTTCATTAATTATGTTAATGACTTTTTGCTTCTTCTTTTCTTTTTTTTTGGGGGGGAGTAGTATTTCTAAGTTTGCCTACAATCCAAAAACTGATTATGATGATCATAGGTCTCTTATTCAAAATATCCTTGCTATTCCTAATGAATGTGCCAGAGTGTAAATGGTGGGTTTTTTATTAATCTATGGAATGATTTGCTTGATGGAGCTGTTTTTGTTTTGAATATGAACTCTCTTAAATTTTTATTAGTAGGTCAAATCCACTCTTTGCTTATATACCACTTGGGAACTGGTGCTAAGTTCTGGCTTTATCGACACAAGGAGATGAAAATGATAACATATCCTCCCTGGATGGGATCCAAGGCCATCACAGATTAACCACCCAGCTAAAAGCTAATACCCATCATACAGTTGGGTAGACTGAAATAACTGCTCAATTACACAACAGTATTTCATAAGCAAGCCTCGAACTTGCAACCAACTGACCACAGATACAAGGTGCAAAGCTACTGACCCACACTGCCCCCCACAAAGGTAAGAATTCAATTCATGTGCAGTTGGTGACTGGCTAGCCTTCACTTTCATTATGACTTTGGGCTTAGACAAAACACAATGACTTATGCATGTGTTAGACTTCTTGGTCTGTGTTTCAAGACAGGTCAGGTTTTGTTTGCAGGTACCTATACTTAACTGGTTTAAAAATTAAATAAAAATAAACAATCTCCCTTTTATAATCCCAGAGCTGTAAACAGGATGGAGCTACATGGGTCACTGCCCCATAGCTTTGTTATGCAAAAGTAAAAAAATTGTGGTGGGTGTTTAGAATATATGTAAACAAAAGAAAACATCTAAATTTGTGATCACAGATGTCACAACAGTTTAGCTATATAATATGCAATATGTGTGTTGTGTGTTAATGATAAGATTACTGGAAGCATATTATCATTATTCTTGTTGAACAAAATATGATATAAAAATCCAGTCGACTTGCACTGGGTGCTAAACAATCATTATGTTGCTAGATAACCTGAATGGCCTTCTGTCAAGCTTGCCTTAAGTTTCTAATGATGAAAGATGATTAGTGACTGTTATAAACAGGGCAAATAAACCAAAAACTTGAAATTATAATTAGTTCAATGAAAATATATAAAAATTAATATTTTATGTGTGGTTAATTTTTTCACATAAAAACTGTTATCTCTTCTACACATGGTCAAACCAGAATATTGTGCAAATTCTACAGGCAGTACATAAAAGTAAGATTCCTGTTGGAAATATGTTAAAAGATACTTTGTACAGTAGATATATTTTAGTCTGACTACATCCAGATTGTATTATGGTGGTATGCTTTTAAACAGTTTATTTTTCATTGCTTAAAGAGCTTTTGTTATAATTAACTACAGAATTAATTTACAACATGAGGCTCGTAATTTGTGTAAATGATTTTTCACTATATTTTTAGTAATCTTCCACCAGCATAAAAATCACACCCAGTGCCTCTTACATTTAGTATGATTTATATCATTATGTTGACACTGGGGGGATCGCTGAAGCATAGAAATGCTAAGAAAATTTCAAAAGTTTTCCTATTGAAATAATGCTGCCACTAGAAAATTGATGGCTAATGATCAATGTGAAACTTAAATTTACATATTTTTCTGAACTAAAAAAGAAAAAAAAGAGAGAAATGTCAGTATATCTTTTCTTGCGAATGTACATCGACTTTCAGTTTCATACCTAGTGTGCCTTACAATTTAAGTAATTTACATCTGCTATCTACATTGACACCGTGCGTTCTTTTTATGCTTGAAACGAAATACAATTTTACAACTTACAAAACACAAGTTAAATTTAAAGGTCTACCTACAAAATACAAATAGTGAGATACATTATACATCTCAAAAATCATAATCTCGTCAAAACAACCCTTCACACTTAGCTTTAAGCTATCTGAATACTTTTGCGTTAAACCTTAATTATACTAATCTATTTTTCTCTTTCTACCTAAAAGTAAAATATGAATTACCTCTGGGTTCCATATTCTACTTCTAGAAAAGAATGAAGCTCCTTTCACGTAAAGCGCCATGTTGAAAAGCACCACCTGCACGATATAATATATAAACTACCATACGACAAAACTATTAAAATACAAAAGTTTTGTTTGGTTTTGAATTTCACGCAAAGCTATACGAGGGCTATCTACGCTAGTCGTCCCTAATTTAGCAGTGTAAGACCAGATGGAAGGCAGCTAATCATCACCACCCACTGCCAACACTTGGGCTACTCTGTTACCAACAAATAGTGGGATTGACCATCACGTTATAACGCTTCCACGGCTGAAAGGGCGAGCATGTTTGGTGTGACGGAGATTCGAACCCGCAACCCTCAGATTGCGAGTCGAGCGCCCTAACCATCTGGCCATACAAAAGTTAAATGTTGTTGTATTTTTCGTTTTGTTACAATGTTGCAACTGTTTCGGAAAATATTAATTTTATAAGTTTTATTATCAACAAGTATTCCGAAAATAAGCGTAAAAATTTCATTGTTTTCGGTACTTCTGGTGTTGCCCATAATTTTTTAAGGGATTAATGAAGCACACACATACAGGATTATACAAATGATAAATGTTTGATTTGCATTTCTACAAAGCTACTAAGACTGTCTGCTGCCCTCCTTAATTTTGAACTACTGATCAGAGGGTTGGGTTTGTTTTGAATTTCGCGCAAAGCTAAACGAGGGCTATCTGCGCTAGCAGTCTCTAATTTAGCAGTGTAAGACCAGAGGGAAGGCAGCCAGTCAGCATCACCTACTACCGACGTTAAAAGGTTGACTGTCACTCTTATAATGCACTCAAAGCTTAAAGTACAGAAATATTTTGAGATATCACACGGATTCCAATCCAATTCGTTAGCTCCAAAATCCAGAGTTATATCACTAAGCTAACTTGTATACATTTTGATTGATTTGTTATCCACGTGTGAAACTGAAACCTGCACGAGCATTAGATAGGTTTACTTTGTAATGAAATAATCGATAAGGATAATCACAGAATACTTTTCTAATGTAGCTAAATGACTAAGTTTAGGCTAAAGAATAAACAGACTGTACATGTGATGAAACTGTAAAACAATACTTACTTCTAAAAGAACAACACAGTATGCATACTTGCGTCATGACACTAAACTGTCACCTTCTACTGGATTTGTGAATCAATGCACAACTTTCGTCTCTCCAAATATTTTTCCACAGTGGTTAAATTGGAATTTTAAAATGGTGGAACTCTCTTTTGTGATCTAGTGACAGTGTGACACTACAGAATAATTTTCCTTCCAATTAAAAGACCAGGAATGTTAAAGGCTTGAATTCTAGAGAAAGAGAAAACTATCCCCGACCATTCCACTCAAATTTAACCCCTGTTTTTACGTCAACTAACCAGATTGAAACCAAGTAGAACTATATTATTCCAATGTTCCTTACTTAACGTGAAACGTTGAATTTACCTATAATCATTAGTACTACTTACAACATAGTTATCACAATATAAAAAACGGTTTCGTTTAGATATTAGGGATTAATTTATTTTTGTGAGTGAATATTTTATTATTGTTTAGTTTTTGTTATAATAAGATTTAAAAGCAAATGGTTGTAGAAAGTTTTGTTAATGATCATTGACGTCGAGAATATAGAAGGCGGACAGCCGATTAGGTAATAAAGGTATTGTTACGTCTCCGTTTGTTAATTAACTTTCCGTAACTTCGTTCCGACGAAACTTTAGCGACACAAATTCTTTAC